ATTACAGCCATGAGCCACTGTTCCCCCACTGATTGGGTTAATTCAATTGCTTTGTCTTCAAGCTCTGATTTTTTTTTTTTTAATGCCAGTACCATCCTGTTTCGGTGTTTAATAGCTTTGTAGTATATTAGATAGTATGATGCCTATAGATCCATTCATTTTGCTCAGAATTTCTTCAGATGTTTGGAGTCTATTATGCTTCCATATGAACTTTAGGATTGTTTTTTCTATTTCTGGGAAGAATGTCTTTCGTATTTGGGTAGTGATTGATTTAATTCTGTAGCTCTCTTTTGGTAGATGGACATTTTAATGATATCAGTTCTTCTAATCCATGAACACAGGGAATCTTTCCATTTGTTTGTGATCGCTTCAATTTCTTTGAGTTCTATAGTTTTTCCTGTAGAGATCTTTCACTTCCTTGGCTAAATGTATTCCTAGTTATTTTGTATTTACCTTAGGTTTTGTAAATGAGGTTGCCTTATTTCACTTTCAGATTGTTCACTGTTGGCATATATAAATGCCACTAATTTTGTATGTTGATTTTGTATCTTGCAAATTTACTGAATTCATTCATCAGTTCTAACAGTCTTTGCTGGTATCTTTAGTATTTTTTTTTTTTAATACATGACCATGTCATCTGTAAACAGGGAAAATTTGACTTCCTTCTTTCCAGTTTAGAGGCTTTTGTTTCTTTCTTTTGCCTAATTGCTCTGGCTAAGACCAGACACAACTTCTTTTTCTCTTTTTTCTCTCCTGAATTCATGTGAATTCAGGATGTTATTCTTGTTTTTGAATAGTTTCTAGTTGTGCTTTTGTGGGTGTGGATGAATGATCCTGGAGAATCTTCTATTCATCTATCTTGTTGCTATAACTCCTATGAGTCTTTCTTGACTTTAAAAATACAGTTTGCTGTTAGAGTATAGAAGCTCTAATTTGTGTACATTGATTTTATATCCTGAAACTTTCCTGAATTTGTTTATTAGGGAAGTTTTTGTTGAAGTCTTTAGTTTTTTTACATGTAATATTACTTTATAAGCAAACAGAAACCATGTCACTTTTTCCTTTCCTATTTACATTTTTATTTTCCTTACATAATTGCTTTGTCTGGGACTTCCAGTACTATGTTACATAAAAGTGGCAAGAGTGACCATTCTGGTTTTTTGCTGAATCTTAGAGAAAAAGCTTTCAACATTTCATTGTTAAGTATTTTGTCACCTGTGGGTTTGTCACATGTGGGCTTTATTATGTTGAGATACATTTCTTGTATACCTAATTTGTTGAGAGTTTTAGAATTTTGTCAAATGCTTTTCTCCATCTGCTTAATCACACAATTGTATCATTCATTCTGTTAATGTGCTATGTGATGTTTATTATTTTGCATCCGTTGAAGCATCCTTGCGTCCCTGGGATGAATCCCATTTGATTATGGTGAATGCTTTTTGAAATGTACTTTTAAATTCAGTTTGCTACCTTTTTTTGAAGAATTTTGCATTCATGTTCCCAAAGGATATTGACCTGTAGTTCCTTTTTTGTTCCCGTGTCCTTCTGTGGCTTTGGTATTAGGGTAATTCTGGCCTTGTAAAATGAATTTAGAAGTATTCCCACTTCAATTTTTTGGAAGTGTTTGAGAAGAATTGGTGTTAGTTCTTTCAATTTTTGATAGAATTTTGCAGTGAGTCCGTATTGTCCTGGGCTGCTATTTTCCTTTTTGGTGGGAGACTTTTATTACTACTTCATTGCATAATTCATTACTGGTTTGCTTAGATTTACTATTTATAATTCAATCCTGATAGGTTTTATGTATCAATGAATTTATATCTTCCAGTTTATCTAATTTTTGGCATGCAATTATTCATTATACTTTCATAATCTTTTGTATTTCTGTGGCCTCAGTTCCTTTTTACAATTTCTGATTTACTTCATCCTTCTTAATTTTTTTTCCACAAAAAGACTTTTATCTGATTTGCATTTTTTTTATCATTTGTTTTGTTTCTTCTCTGATTGTTAATTCATCTACTAATTTTGGGTTTCTTTTTTCTAGCTAATTAAGGTACAATATTACCTTTTCTTATTTGAGGTCTTTCTTCTTTATTGATGTAGCCCTTTATCGCTATAAACTTCCCCTTTGATCTGCTTCCGCTGTGTCCTGTAGGTTTTGCTATCTTGAATTTTCCATTTTCATTTGCCTCAAGCAACGTTTTATTTTCATTTTTTTCATTGACACACCTGTTGTTTAGGAGCGTATTGTTTAATCGCCATTTATTTGTAAACTTTTGGAGAATTCTTCATTTACAGTTTAAACTGCTGTGATCAGAAATGATGCTTGATATTTTTATCTTCTTAAGTCTTTTCTATACTAAACATGTGATCTAATCTAGAAAATGTTTCATGTGCAATTGAGTATAGGGTGTGTTCTGCAGCTACTGAATAAAATGTTTTGCATATGCTTTTTAGGTCCATCGCCCTAGAGTGCAACTTAGCTGTTATTTCACTGTTGACTTCCTGTCTGGATAATCTTTCCAATGCTGAAAGTGTGAAGTTTCTTAGTATTATTTTATTGCTATCTCTCCTGTTAGATCTATTAATAGTTAACTTTATATATTTAGGTGCTCTAATGTTTAGAGCATATATAGTCACAATTACTGTACACTTTTTGTTGAATTGGCTTTTTAATCATTATATAAGATCTTCTTCGTCTCTTTCTACAGTTCTGGACTTCAGTCTGTTTTATCTGATGTAAGCATAGCTAGTCCTGCTCTTTTCTGGTTACGACTTGCATGGGATATCCTTTTTGACCACTTCACTTCAGTCTACATATGTCCTTGCAAGTTAAAGTAATTGTTGAAGGTAACATTTTTTATGCATTCTGTCACTGTATGTCTTTTGATTGGACAATTTAATACATTTACATTCAAGATAACTTTTGATACATAGGGACTTAATATAATAATTTTGTTGTTTTCCAGTTATTTTATAGAGTCTTTTTTCCTTCCTTCCTATCTTCTTTTGGGGCTAAGTGATGTTTTATCTAGTGGTATGCATTGGTTCCTTGTGTTAAAATATTATTTGTCTGTGTACTACAGGTTTTTGCTTCGTAGTTACAAGACTTACCAAAAATATTATAACAGGTTATTTTAATCTGCTAAACAACTTAATGTTGAGCACAATGAAACTCTACGAAAAAACATTTTAAGAGGTTTTGCTGTATTTTATTTCCTGTTACAAATGTTTTAAAGATAACCATCAAATGTGTCTGTAATTATAATCCAGCAAATTGAGAGTTGACACAGGTTCTTTAACTCATCCAAGTTAGAGTATGCCTTTTATATTGTCTGAGTTCAGGAAAAATATTAAAAACTAGTTCTCTCATATTTTTTTCCAAAACACTACAGAATCTTTGTTATAGTCATAAAATAATTGGATGTGGTGAGAGAAGAGGAATCTGTACTTTTGAAACTACCTGATTATTCACAAGTTGGACATAGCCAATTAGGAAATTATAGGCATGCAGCTACCACATTTGTGCTTTTATGCAACAGATTCAGCAGGTCCCACACCTCAAATGTCCTCCTATCAGCCTATCCTGGTGTAAAGGCACAGTCGACTCCACTTAGATCAACGTCATTTAGATCACCGTTCTCATTTACCTAGTGTCTATGTTTTTGGTCTTGCACATCTCCAATTGGTTACCACACAAATAACATTTCCAAAATGCAAATCTGATCATCTCACTATTGTTTTTAAAACCCTGGGCCACACAAAGGCAAGAAAGGAGGCTAAAATGAAATAAGAAAGAAGGATCTCCTGGAGCATTGATCTCTCATTTGGTGAGAGCCTGTCTTTGCCCATGCTGTGCTTTTCCCTTGCAGCATGTCTCTGTGAGCATTGTTTCCCTACCTCCACTATCACACACTCAGCTGAGGGTAACTTCTAGTCACTATTCATTCAGCACTGAGCCGCAGAGTCTCCTCTCAGCTCCTTGTTTGAACTCAGCTGTCACAGATGGAATTAATGTGCCCTTACAAGCTGTACGCTTCACACACGAGTATCAAAACAATTTATTACATTTGTTTGCATAAACAACTACATGTATTTTTCCAATTCCTTGGAAAAAAGTAGCCATGTGCTATTCCAAATTTAATCTTATTTAGCTATTTTTAATAAAGCACAAAATGTTTGTTGAATAAACGAAGGATTGAATGTTGATGCCATCACTCTCCTTGTTTGTATAACAAGTTACATGTTTGAAATCTCAGCTCAGAAATCACCCTGGGCAGGTAACCTTCCCTAAAACTCCTTCCACTTAGGTGTAATATTTTTTCTGCAGTTCATTATGTGGTCTTACATCCTCAGTATACCATATGGCACTGAATATTTCAGAGAGGCAATAACGACTAGATGCTGTCAGAATCGGACCCATGCAGAAAAAGGTAGCCCTCAATAAAGAGGTGATGACTGGATTTTCTCAGTAATTATTAGACACAATGAAATGAGCATGATTTCTAAGATGTCACAATTCCAAGTGAAAAGAGAATATTTTCAAAAAGGAAGAAAAGCCTGGCATTTAATTCTTTATTTGTAAATTATTTGAAATTTACAGAAAACTATCATTAAAAAAGAATAGTACAATTAATACCTACATACCGTTCACCTTGACTCACCTGTGGCAGCAACACTGTGCTCAGTTTGTTTCACTGCCCCCTCTCTCTTCCTCCTTCCCTCTCATTTGAACACCTCATGACCTTTATTTCTCTAAATATTTTATTATGCATTTCCTAAGGTTATGAATACTTTTTCACAAAATTAAAGAGCAGTTATCCACTTCCAAAAATGTTACATTACTACAACACAATTGTATAAGAATTTTGGGTGGACAAGGATGGCAAAATAGAATTTCCACACAGTGAAAGAATTCCTGAACATGAGATGAAAATGAGATGAGACATCATTGTATGAGAGTTTAAGGAACAACACGGGGATAAAATCCTAAGTACCTGATGGGTAGAGAAAAGGAAAATAAATCATTATATCCAAATGTCCTACTTTATAATTTCCTAAAGGACAATTCTCACAGTTAACATTTTCTTCAGAGCCCCCATGACATCCTTATTTCTAAGACTATAGATTAAAGGGTTCAGCACCGGAGTGAGGATGGTGTAGAAGACAGATACCATCATGTCCTTCTCAGGGGTGTGGTAGGAGCTGGGGAGCATGTAGGTGTAGATGGCAGCCCCGTAGAAGAGGATGACCACAGTCAGGTGGGAGGAGCAGGTGGCAAAGGCCTTTTTCCGGCCCTCTGCTGAGTTCATCCTGTGGATGGTGAGGAGGATGAGTAGATAGGAGCTTGAAATGATCACCACAGGGATGAGGAGCATGAGGACACAGCATAGGTACATGAGGGTCTCATAGAGGGAGGTGTCCGAGCAGGACAGGACCATTAGAGCAGGGACTTCACAGAAGAAATGATGAATCTCCCGGGATCCGCAGAAGGGGAAGGTCATGGTGATGGGAGTGAGCATGAAGCCATCCACTGAGCCCAGGAGCCAGCAGCCCGATGCCAGGAAGAGACACACCCTATGGGTCATGAGGACAGGGTAACGGAGAGGATGGCAGATGGCCACGTAGCGGTCATAGGCCATGGCAGCTAAAAGGAAAAATTCCGAACCTACTAGTGTCACATAGAGGAACATCTGCATCCCACACTCAGGGGCTGAGATCTGATTCACACCCATGACCTGGTCCAGGAGCATCTTGGGCACAGTGACAGAAATGTACACCATGTCCATGAGAGACAATTGACTGATGAAAAAGTACATGGGGGTGTGGAGGTGGGCGTCACAGTGTATCAGAAGGATCAGGACAGCATTTCCAGACAATGCCATCAGGAAAACCACAAAAATGACCACACAAAGTACAGCTGGATGTTTGGATTGTCTGAAGAGTCCCATCAGGATGAAATCCGACCATCCAGTGTGGTTGGCCATCCAGGTGGTGTTGGCCATGAGGTTTCACCTAGGCCACCAAGGAGAGTTTTGGAGTTAGTGTAATGCATCCCTTTCTAACGAGTGTTTAGTGAGTACTCATGTTCGTGTATGCCGATTGTGCTACCTGAGTAAGTCTCGTGGGTCTGGATATTTGAGTATATAAATGACATATAACAAATTTACGAAAAGAATTCACAACTATAGGCCAAAAGAATTGGTAACTAATAGTAAGGTTGTCACGGTTCAAATTAATAAACTTCCCTGACAGTGTCATTTATCAACAAGTACTGGAAATTTGCAGAACCACCCTCCTCTGCTAACACAAATGTGACTCATTGAAAGATAAATCAAACTCGTTATTTCTAGAGTTTTTGTCATAGAGGGCTGGATTGAATTAACATCTCTGGTTTAAGAAAATAGGCATCTTCAAAATACTCAGGGGTATATTTGATATAAGAAAGATGTAGCAAGGAACTAAAGCGTAACTTGGAAAAGACATTATACCAGATGTTTGAAACTCCTCCTTCCACAGGATCAGGCCATGCTGTGAGGCTCTGTGATTGCATGAAGCGAGCCTCACATTCTCGTGAGCAGGGAAGGATCCTCACACACGACTGACCCTTTAGACATTGAGGGACATGAGTAAGGAGCACACAGACCCCAGCCATAGGTCCATCTTTTTCTCTGCCATTCCTTTCTCCAGTCTACATCAAAAAGGATACAAATCATGTTTGAGCTCAGGTGTGATGAGGGTAAAATGAGGAAACGTAATGAAAGTGCTTAGAATAGTACAGTTTCTGATGAACACATGTATTCTTAGCTTACAGAGTTAATATCTACATTATTCTGCACAACCTACCTAAGATGGTTGCTACTATGATTATTATATAAGATGCATTAACTTCCATTCTCCAGATACAGTACCTGTTCATACATTTAAGAAGTTGATTTTCAAAATAAAAATGGCAGGTCTGCAAAATAAAGCACATGACCCACTTGAAGAAAACAACTTTGGTTTTTATATTTGTGTGTTTATGTGTAAATATTCTGGTTTTATGTAAATATAATGTAAACATATTTATGTAAACATACACAGGTGAATATATAACTATATTCTACATTTCTTATTTTAACCCTGGTTTTGCAGAGCTTTTTGGAGAATCCCATGTCCTTCCTGTCTAGTATGTGGTCCTCCAACCTCATCTCCTTATAGTTCCCCTCATTTTAAAGTTCATTAAATCTCAGCAAGGAAGAACTAGAATTTGGAGGGTCACTGCTGTTTATCAGACAAAGCTTTAGTTGGTTTTGCAAACATCATGTGCTTCACTGCCTGCCACAATCAATCTTTCCTACACACTGAGAGACAGGGAGAAATATCAAACACTGAGATGCCTCTGACTTCACCTCACTGTTTCCTTCTCTACCGTGACACTCACAGCCTGTCTCTATGTTATATGCTGAAGATGAATCAAAGATGAATTGAACTTCAGTGCACTTAAGGAGGTCACAGTGAGTCTATTCAGGGAACAATTATTTTGTAAATGTGATTTAAAGCAGAATTTTTAAATAGCTACAAAATAAACAAGGGCAATAGACACAAAATATATCCGGCCTTTCTGAAATAGTCCATAAGCTTCTTCCACGTTTTCTCCGAAAGAAATTAAACCTTTCCAACTTTTCAACTTCTGACATGTTAAATGTTAAATTTTGATAGCCCTAGTCAAGAATAAGGACAGAATAACTCCTCTTTCTGGGAAGATTTTAGCTGTGGTTATGATGCAGGGACATTTTAGAATGAATTTACAAGTTTCAAATACATTTTGTATTCTTATAATTATAAAAACTAGTTAATACATTCAATTCTCCAAAAGTTCCAATATGCTGGGATGCTTTGATGCCTTAATATAAATACCCAACAAATCTGAGACATTTTGTGTGTCTATATATTTCTACATATATGAATAGATAGGTAGGTAGGTGAGTAGATGATTTGTGTCAAACACGGTCCCCACTGGCAAATGGTGGCTGAGATCTGTGTACAATTTTAAAACATTCCAATAAACTGCAAAACACAACTGCTGACCTCGTCTGTATTTGTGGCCAAAGTGAAGCAAGGACCAGGGGAGTGACCAGCACATGTGAAGACCTAAAAGGTGTTTGCTCAGTAAATTCAGAGGGAACAGGAGGGCAGGGAGATGCAGGGTTTGCTAAGCAAATCTTTGCGCTGCACTTTGGTAAATGGGGATCACTATCATGAAGCCACTCAGAAAGCTCACCCAGGACACGGGACAGATATGGAAACACTGTGTCCACACGTAGTGACTGGTACCCTGTTCATTCTTATTCTTCTCGATCCGCTTGTTTGAATTTTATGTAAATTGCTTAATGCATGTTTAACTTGGGGATTTATTATAAGTATAAATGGAGTCATATCAAATCTTTATTTGAAGCAGACACCATCCCAGGAATTGTTCTAATACCAATATTAAAATTGTTTAATACTTTACATTTCTTCTTTCCCAAGAGCCTACGAGTTACTTCATATTATTTTCTCTTTATACATATTATAAAAATTCAGGTTCTCAGGGTACCTGCCTAATATCACCCACCTCACCTGAGAAAGAACGCATGTCTCAGCCCAAGAGTGGGACCCAGAGCACGTGACTCTGCCTCAGTCTCTAACGGACACCATCCTCCCCCCGCAGTCTACACTTGGGTTTAGGCCACGCTCTGTGGGTTTTATTAGGGAAACATAAAATGATTGAGACATTGTTTCTAGAGTTTTGTAACCCTCAGAAATCATCCCCACTCAAAAGCAAATCAGTCACTTTTCCTCTATAAAACTTCAGTGACAGGAAAATAAATGCATCTTTGTATAAAAATCCAAAAATATAGAAAAAGCTTTTTTCCATAAATAAATGGAAATTAAAAATCCATTTACAATTATGTCACAGTAAATAAGTGTTATATAGAAGTTTTAAGAAAGAATCACAAGTGTTTTTCTCCATTAAAAAATTAAGACAAAATGAGGAAATACTGTGAAGAACTAACAGAATGTTTCAGAAGCAGAACAAGTGGAGAGCCGTGATTACCCTTTTGTTCCTAATAGAACGTTTCAGAAGCAGAACAAGTCGAGAGCAGTGCTTACCCTTTTGTTTCTACCAGTACTGCCTGTCTGGCAGAACTCACCATCAGACGCTGTCTTGAACCTCACCTAGATGAGCTAGTGGTGTGTGGTCAGGTTAAGAGCACAAAGAGAAGAAGGTGACATCATGCCTGGTTTTACCATGTCCACTAGGGGAGTGGATGAAAGCTTTCCGTTGACACATCACCTCTGGGATTTGAAGAAGAATGCAATTAAGAGAGCTAAAGAAGTCAGTAGGTAGCTCTCCTGAACCATTCTGGTTTTCTTCTAATTTTTACCTCTGTTTTTAAATGCAAACTCTTAACCAATATTTATAATAATCTCAGATCTCATCATCAAAATCTTATCTATGAAACATATGAGTTAGTTAATAGACTTAGCCTTTTCCACTTTACAAAATATATTCTATATGTATGTATAGACTAATAAGATGTATATATTCTATATGTATGTATAGAATAATAAGAGCTAGTCCTGATGAGAGATACGGTGTCTGGGCAAGGGGTTTGTGGTGGAGGAAGTGAAGGTGGATTGCTATTTATACACACAGGAATTTGGGGGCTGGGCAGGTTGGCATGGAACGCTGAAATAAATTTGGGACTCCAGTTGCCCAGTACACATCGACCATGAAGATTATGCAAGGCTAGTGCATCCACGAATCCAGAGTTCGTAAGAGAAGGCGGTCCTGAAATCATGGGTGTGAGAACCAGTGTGTATGGAGGAAACAATGGGATTGCACAAGGAAGGAGGGTCAACATCCTATCCCAGAAGCCAGAGCAGGGGAGGCTAAGTTTCCACATGAACTCTTTTCCATTGGTCTTTCACTGGATTCCTTTAAAATACCTTGTTTTATTGGGTGTTCCCCTCATGACGATTTTAAACATCTAGTGAAACAATTCTTGTCTTCCTGTATGTTCATGTTCAAAATAGTCAAGCTTTCAACAGTTATTTTTTCCTTTCAGTTGATCTATTTGGCTAGGTTCAAAAGATCTAACTAATCGTACTGATTGGAATACATTAAAATATATTTGGAAAGAGCTGATATTGTTGCAGATTTTTATAAACAAGCATGATAGGTCTCCCAGGCATCCAAACACTTAGAGGTCGAGTATGGATTTTAAAATAATTTTAATAAAATTCTTCCACAATAATTCAGATTATTGAGATATTTTTATATTTTTTGAAGAGAACATTTTTATTTAAAAATACTTAAAATGTATTAATGACAAGAGCTATTGATATATATTTTTTCAACAGTAATATTTATGGTGGAAACCCTGCTTAAGTTTTACCTTTTTTACATTTTAAATGTAAACTGAGAAAATATTTATAAAAGCAAAAATAAAATGTTAAGAGCTATAAACATATAAAACATGTCAAAAATGTTGTAAACGATCCTGAAGACACCATCAGAGACATAAAGAAATGGAAAGACACATGCCCAGAACGAAGGAAGAGGGGCCACCACCTTTATGGACTGGAGGTCAGGAGATCAAGCCAAAGAGGACCTCAAGTCCCAAAATCTAACGAAACTTGCCCTGACAGGTTTCAGGCTTGCTTTGGCTCCAAGATTTCTTTATTATTTCCAATTTCTCTCTTTTGGAATAGGAATGTCCATCCTACACATCAGTGTCACTGTTGTATCTTGACAGCAGATAACTTGCTGTCTGGTTTCACAGGGTTTAAATTAACTTACTGAGTAAAATCCAAGTTGAATAATGTGCTAGAGAACTATTCTTAATACAAAGATTAAAAATATTAGCATGATGGTAGAAGAGGAGCTCCTATAATCGTATCCCCTCAAAGCAGCAATAATATAGCAGCCAAAATGTGGACATATAAATGGAATATATGCATTAAAATGAACAAAATCATTCATTCACAGATTGGAT